TGAGAACCGCAGGCCTTTTAAATGTCTAAACATGCACAGGACTGCAGCCTAACTCACCCTCCTCTCTCACATACAGACTTTAAATCCTCTGTGTGAAAGAAAATGCATCCCTTTCTTTGCTCCAGTGTTCCCACTTTCTTTGTTGCACAGTTAATTCCACGAGCGTTGGTGTCTGCTAGCATAAGATAACTGGCAACAGCCCTGGGACACTGGATACGCTGAGGATGTTGCAGTATCCAAAGGGCTCTTTTGGAGTAGCTGCATTACTCTGCAATTATAATTATAATTATGCATTTTCCTGGCTTTTTCCTCTTCTGAGGAACGCAAGGCAGCTTAAATAGTTCCATTTTATCCTCACAACAACCCTGGGCGGTGAAAGTGAGTGGCTGGCCCAAAGTCACCTGATGGCCAAGTGGGGATGAGAACCCAGATCTCCCAGGTCCCCAGTCCAACACTCGCACCGCACCACACCACACCACACCACACCACACTGGGCTCTCCAGAAAAATGTTTCCTTTACTCATAGAAAATCTTAACTATGCTTTTACCGAAAAATCAAAACACTCAAGTCCTTAAATCAGTACCAAGATTTGTGTCAATGTGAGGACCCCCATGTATTGTTTTCCTTCCTTTTAAGGACTAATTCTGGGCATTTGTTCAAGCAAGTTGTTTTCAAAGGCAAGCTTATTTTTCATAAGCACGGGTTTGACACACAGGAGAACTGTTGGGCATGATGTTCCTCTGTGCCCAGTCCAGTGGCTTCTGGGTGGTGACCTTGAAAAGCTGAAAGCTGAACAAGAACAGGAAGAGAAGAGCCTTTGCTGCATAGTATGAGAGGGCGTGGGGAGTTGCTGCCTTGGTAACGAGGCCCAAGAGGGAAGAAACACCATTCCTGAGGATTCTGTAGATAGCTGAGGGCTGTTCACATAGCAACAAGATGGAGTTCAGCTGGCTCCAAGCCAGCCCGGTGGGGAACACACATCTTCTGCGCCATTGCAGCCTGGAGAGTTTGTACATCCCTTGCAGGCTTTCTCCAGCAGCCGTGAGGCCTTTCTGTCATGCCTTGGCTGATCCTTCCCTCCTGTCTGCTGAGCAAGCAGGAGGCAGTGGGAGAAGGGGCCAAGGGGTTGTGGGAGGAGAAGCCATTACAACACCCTGTGGTGTCTGAGGTGGAGCTACGTAAGAGAGAGGCCTGATCCCAGGCTGATACCAAGGGTTAAAGAGGGGGACAGTGGCAGAGAGCGTGCTTTGGACATGGAAGGTGCTCTGTTCAACTCAGGGCGTCTCCAGGTAGGGTTGGATATATTCCAGGATCGCTGCAAATCACATTAGGGCTTTTCTAGATGGAGAGCTCCTCGCCTTACCTTTCAGAAGGCACCATGCAGCCTTCTGATAGCAGATTCTCTGCAGTAAAAAAAGGCAGATGTAGTGGTGTGAAAACATGGGAGGGCTACAAGAGGAAAACTTCATCATCTGGACTCTCCATAAAACTCTGTAAATTAGGCAGGGGGAGAGCTACCAAAGGGCTTCCTTAGAGGGCTGCTTCCAAGGTTTTTATGATGCCATTGTTTCACCTTATTAAAGGATGTTCACAGCATGTCCAGATATTGCCATCTTGTACTTGAGACCTTCCCATGTTTTCTTATGACTTCAGCCCCTGTTTTCCTTAACAAAGAAGATACTTTTAGGAGAAAAAGAGTACTTGCAAAGGGTCTTCGGTCTGAAAGCACCCATGGGACAAGCATGTCATCCTGAAGCCTTGCAGCTTGGACCACTGTGTGTTTGACCGGCAATAGCTGCCCCCAAGTTTGATCATCACTGTGTGCATAGAGAGCTGTGGGCTTAATGCAGTACTGGCCCTACTATGGCGGCAAAACGGGCAATCCCTGGTGTGCCCAAGTCCGAGGACTGCCCGCAGTCAAGAGGGAGCACCGCTGACTGCACATTTGGCATGGGAGCACAGAGGCACTTGGGCACATAAGGACACAGGAAACCGAGTCAGACCATTCGTCCTTCTCGTCCAGGACTGTCCTCCCTGGCTGGCAGTGGCTTTTCCTTGATTTTGGACAGCATTCTTTCCGATCCCTACCTGAAGATGCCATGGATTCTACCTGGGCTATTTGCATGCCAAGTACGGGCTCTTAGCACAGAGCTTCAGCCCCTCCCTAGCTATCCCCCAAGCCCTTGGGTGAAAGGGGGAGTCTAATTTATGCTCATCATAGTGCCATTGTGAGTGGTGTACAATTTAGTTTAGATGAGCTAAATGAGTAACACAATGACATAACAGCTACATCCCGGAAAATGAAAATGAACACACTCATGTGCACAGTCTATATGTCAATCATTTAGGCTACAGTCCTAAAAGGAGGGAGCAAAATGCACAGAATACAAGTACATGTGCACAGGACTGATCTACAGACGTGCTATTGTCACACCGTTCAGAACTTGTGGCCAATTTTCATTTGCTTAAAGGCACAACCCTCGGCGAGGCTAGACAGAAAAAAAGCACGACACCTCCCGGCATGTCCCAGCCAGCAGTGCTGGACCAAAATTACTCCAGCCTTCCTTTTTAGTAGAAATAGCTATTAGTTTGAATGAAGGAGGTTTTAATTTCTATGATTGCTTGTATATTTTTTCCCAAAGCATTTATAATGGCTTCATAAACAGTGTTCGAAGTGGATCAAAGTACATGGCAACTTTAGAGGCGTAAACCCCTTGCCCTGCAATATATGCAGGTTCTGAACTCGAGGTTTACAATGCAGGGCGGCAGCAGCAGTCTCCTCCACCACCGCACGTCCACTCCGGATTTTATCAGAGAGCCACTTTCGGCCATCGAGATGCAGCACCAAAGAACAGGAAGGAAGGTGGCTGGGGGCAGCACCGGAACAGGTGTCAGTCTTTGGCCCCAGCTTCATAGACTCATAGAAGAGCAGAGCTGGAAGGGGCCAGAGGGCCACCCGGCCTTACCCCCTGCTCAGTGCAGGACTCCCGGTTAAATGGTTTAAATCCCAGTTAAACCATTCCTCTCAGATGGTTGCTCAGTTGCATCTTGAATGCCTCCAGTGTGGGACAGTCCATAACCTCTCTAGGCAACTGTTTCCATTGTCCTACTGCTCTTACAGTTAGGAAATTTTTCCTGCTAGCTAGCCGGATTCTGGCTTCCTGTAACTTGAGCCCATTATTCCGTGTCCTGCACTCTGAGATGATTGAGAAGAGATCCTGTCCTTCCTCTTTGTGACAGCTTTCCGAGTACTCGTGGAGTGCTATCATACCTCCCCTCAGTCTTTTCTTCCCAAGGCTGAACACATCCAGGTCTTTCAATCCCTCCTCACAGGGCTTTGTTTCCAGTCCCGGGATCATCCTGGCTGCCCTCCTCTGAACCTCTTCCAGCTGATCTGTATTTTTCTTGCAGCACCCTCCCCATAACGGTCTGTTTTTGCCCTTTCCAAGGCCCAGTTATGACCTTGGGAGGGTGGAGGGGAGCAGTCAGCACGGTCCTTTCTGAGCTGGCCCAGGGCGTCACGCTTCTTGGCCTTCAGGGTCACAGCTCGGAGACTGCAGGATCTTTGAGCTGCAGCTGCAACGAATTCTGTGGCCTCCCAAGAGAGGTCAGGACATAACTGGATTATGTCCTAAGGGATTTTGTACACAAAGCTTTCCCTGCACCCCATATATATTCAGATATCTAATATTTCAGGGATGCTTAGAAAATGATCAAGCGTAAGTGGGTGTATGACGAAAAAATGAGATTGGATTTCATAGCTGTGAGCTGCACCTTGATCTTGCTCCTGTGCTCCATCCCATAGGCCTCCCAGAGTTGGATTAGTGCAGGGCATTGAGAGAGACACATTCCAGTGTCAAGATAAACTTGAATCCTGTTCAGATGCAATGAAAAGCATCAGAGGAATACCTGAACATGGAGTCCTAAGGTGGGGGTTGACACTCAGATGTTAAATGTATCCAGATTTGATAGTGGGTAGAGCAGAGCTTTGCTTTGATGGAAATCCAGTAAACTAAGAAAAAATGTGTTGGCTGTGAACAGCTTGTCCCCACGCACAAAGCTCCCTTCCCTGTCTCTCTGTGTGCAGATACCCTAGCAGGGTGGGTCCGAGGCATTTTACTGCCTGACTAAGGTACATACTCCGTAAGGCTGGTCAAGTCATATCAGCACGTGAAAGCCGCAAGTTCCTCTCTCCTTCCCTGTCAGTAAAAGTACAAAAATAGTAGATGGGTAACAAATAACTCACTACTTGTTCATAATCAGTTGCCTGGAGCAGCAGCCTCACTCGCTGAAGACATGGCTGGCTCTGCCTCCCATGATTTCCTGTGAATGCCTGCTGGAAGTTTTGCAGGTTCACTATTCAGCTCCTTCTATCTGCCTGCCTACCTACCCACCCATCCATCCCATTTCTGTCCCACCTTTTTCCTTCCAAGGAATTCAAGGAGGCTTATGCTCAACAACAGCAACCCTGTGAGGTAGCCTGGGCTGAGAGGCTGTGACTGGCCCAAAGTTACCCAGGGAGTGGCTGAGCAGGATTAGAACCCAGATCTCCTGAGTCCCGGTCCGGTGCTCTTAACCACTACACCACGCTGACTCTCTCATGTTCATTGGAACTGAGAGCCATGCTTCCCATGGGGTGGGAAGGATTGCTCTTCTCCTGACCCTTTTCCTGGATCAGAAGCTTCTTGAGCAGAGGGATTAATCGTTGTTGTGCTGGTGGACTACTGGGGGTGGTGGGAGGGCAAACCAGGCCCTGGTGGTGAGGAAAGGCGCAGTAAGGTGCGAACTGTGCCCTGCAGCACACACCTCGTGCCGTTGTTTTGTGGACAGTTCCTATGTAGAGCTGCTGGCAACAGTGATGCCGGGCCAGCTGATTCACTGCAGTTTGGGGACCACGCCGGAGGTCTTGTCCAAGGGGCCTTCAAAACACGGAGCAGGGACTGCATCGTATAAATGGGTTCGGTGATTTTTCTGACTGTGTCTTTGCTCCCCATTACAGATCTTTGGCTGCTGGGTGTGGATTCTTGTAGCGGCTACCACTGTCTATTTCCCACTGCTGCAGGGATGGGTTATGTACGTGTCGATCAGCTCTTTTCTCATCTCCCTGATGCTTCTACTGTCCTACTTGTTTGGCTTCCACAGAAATTTTGAATCCTGGAGAATCCTGGTAAGGGGAAGAAAGGGGGCACAGCTCCTCCGTTGCCTTGTCCCTTCTCATTACTATGATTATATTTTCTTCATGTGCCTAATATGCAAAGGCCTCAGAATTCATATTTTCTTTATAAAGGCCTGATCATAGAGTCCAGATGGAAGGGGAGGTGGAAGCCCCACATAATACCCTTGTTCTCATGATGGAAGTTGGTATGAGCTACATTAAACTAGATTTTTAAAGCTGAAAGTTAAAATTAAAAAAGAAAAGTATGTGGCAAAAATGTTTCACAATCAAGCTGGTCCTGTCCCTTTGACTTTGACCTCTGCGGTTCTGCCTCGCCTTCCAAGATAAGAATATGGCCCTCAGGATGAGAATGGTTCCCTAGAGAAATGTATGTTGCTTCCTTTTTCAGGACAGCCTATACCATGGAGCTACTGGCATTTTGTATATGAGTGCAGCAGTCCTACAGGCCAATGCAACGATCCGTTCGGAGACAGAAGTACTGCCAGAACATATACCTCGCTATTATCAGCTCAATGCTGCAGCCACGGTAAGATACCCGTAGAGGCATTGATCTAGAAGCTTTTCATTCAGGGCTGGCCCAGAATATTGGAAGGAGAGTCCCAGTCAGGTCTAGCACTTCAGAAAGTCTTTCTGCATCATTATCCTTGTTGCATGATTTTATTTCATGATTATACAGGTGACAAAGTGCCATGTTCGAAATCCAGGTCCTTGTGGAATTCTCCTGAAGGAAGCAGGAGGCCATTATCTGAATACAGAGTGTGTGGTATCCCACATCTTCCCAGCATCTAGATATTTCCTGTTTCCCCATGAATGTCTTCAGTTACTCATTCCTTCTTGCACTGATTTTCTGGTCTGATATAGACATGCTTCAGTTCCTAGATATGACAAGCGCATTCTGCACATGGTTTCTCTCGAAGGCCTTCTGTTGTAACTGCTGTTCCCTCCCCCGCCCCTCCCTCGAAGATGATGCCATTCTATACACAAAGTTCATTGCATATCCAGAAGGGCAGTATTTTCATTCATGATCTTTTGTTTTTGGACATCTCTGTATTGTCGTGAATTTCAGTCTCTGGAGGATGTTGTCTTCTCCTGTTCACTGTAGAATCTTTTTCTTCCTTTCCTCAGAGATAGATGATACTGCACCATATTAATGGTTTCTACTTCAGCTTCTATTGATCTCCCCGTGGGAGCTTCTGCTAGGCCCTAGCTCAGAGTATCTGGTGATATTAGGTCTCTGCCAAGGCAGTAGTTTGTCTATCTTGTTTTTGCAGATGCATCAGCATACTTTGGAGATGCTTTGGTGCACCACGTTAGGGCTTTTCCTACATATTTCCCAGAGATTTATGGTCAATCCTGATATTTGCTGTGTGTTCATATGTGATTGGTGAAATTTTTCTATTCCAAAAAGTACTGAAAGTGGCTCTTTTTCAAAAGTGTTTTGGGTTTCTCATATTCTCTGCTCTCAAACCATAGAACCATAGAATAGTAGAGTTGGAAGGGGCCATGAAGGTCATCAAGTCCAGCCCCCTGCTGTTGCAGGACACCAATTTACACTATCCCACTCAGATGGCTGTCCAGTTTCTTTTGGAATGTCTGTAGTGTGGGAGAACTCACCACCTCTCTAGGCAGCTGGTTCCACTGTTAAGTTGCTCTGACAGTGAGGAAGCTTTTCCTGATGTCCAACCTGAATCTGGGTTGTCGCAACTTGAATTGATTATTCTGTGTCCTACACTCGGGCATCAGCAAGAAGAGATCTTGACCTTGCTCTTTGTGACAGCCTTTGAGGTACTTCTAGAGGGATATCATGTCCCCCCTCAGGCTTCTCTTCGCAAGGCTGAACATGCCCAGTTCTCTCAGTCTTTCCTCATAGGGCTGTGTTTCCAAACTCTGGATCATTTTTGGTGCCCTCTACTGGACCCTCTCTAATTTACCTGCATCTTTCTTAAATCTTGGTGCCCAGAACAGGACATGATATTCCAGATGATTTCAAATGTAACTGGTGTCCTTCTGGCATTGTTGTTGTTGTTAGTCGTGAAGTTGTGTCCGACCCATCGTGACCCCATGGACAACATTCCTCCAGGCCTTCTTGTCCTCCACCATCCCCCGGAGTCCACCCAAGCTCACACCAACTGCTTCAGTGACTCCATCCAGCCACCTCATCCTCTGCTGTCCCCTTCTTCTTTTGCCTTCAATTGTTCCCAGCATTAGACTCTTCTCTAGTGAGTCCTTCCTTCTCATTAGGTGGCCAAAGTATTTGAGTTTCATCTTCAGGATCTGGCCTTCTAAAGAGCAGTCAGGGTTGATCTCCTCTAGGACTGACTGGTTTGATCACCTTGTGGGCCAAGGGACTCACAGGAGTCTCCTCCAGCACCACAATTCAAAGGCCTCAATTCTTTGGCGCTCAGCCTTTCTTACGGTCCACCTTTCACAGCCATACGTTGCAAGTGGGAAAACCATAGCCTTGACTATACGCCAAGGGTCTCAAACTCACGGCCCGCGGGCCAATTGCCGGGACGGGCGGGGCACGGGGGAGGGGCCCTACGGCCCTCAAAGCGCCCACCACCCCCGCGGTGGTGGAATACTTGATGCGGCCCAGCCTCATCCAGACTCTACTTCCAGTGGCCCCCAGGTAAGTTGAGTTTGAGACCCCTGTTATACGCACTTTTGTTGGCAGGGTGATGTCTCTGCTTTTTAGTATGCTGTCTAGATTTGCCATAGCTTTCCTCCCCAGGAGCAAGCGTCTTTTATAGGAAACCTGTTTCTGATGCACCACACTGAAGCATTAATAGGTCTTCTGGTTGTAACAGTTTGAAACGGGGCTTGCCTCATTCAATTCCTCTACTTTTTTAGAAGGCGTCTTCATGTTGTTGCACCATTCCCAGAGTCTCTTGATATGTCAACTGCCTCAGGATCTCATAGTTCTCTGACAGTTGTTTACAAAACAAATAGTTGGCTATTTCCAGAAATCTCTGGATTCTCTTGTCATCTTGAGGTCATTGGATGTTTTGAATAGCTTACATTTCTGGATCTGCCTTCTTGCCCCCTGAGGTCAGTAGATGACCAATATGTGCACTTCTGTGACCTCAGTCTGAATTCAATTTCATATTTCTTTCTCCCAAACTTTTCAGAAATGCTCTTCATTTACAGTTATGATTCTGCTGCACTTGCTGTAGGTCAGCAACCTCTTCCACTAGATCCATGGAATCAGCCATGGAGTCAGCAGGAATGATTCCATGGAATCAGCTACCTTGAAGGTCCAATTCTCTTTGAGTCTTCAAGGTATCAACCTGTTCTGAGATTCCACGGAGGTAGAAGCATTGCCTGATGGCATTCTTAGCCAGGGATAACTCCCAAAAGGTGTGATCAATGTCAAATAATTAGATTCTTCAGTTCAATATTCTAGAATCCATTTTTGACACTAGAGATGAAGAATAAATTTGCTTTTGACAATTTGACAATGTATCTTCAATGGTACGCAATGGAAAAATGACTTAATTTAAGGGCTTTGAATCTATGTAGATTCTGCGTTTGCCTGATGGTTTTTGAATTACCACAGAATGCTTATCAAAGTTTATACTTTTTTTCTATTGGCTGAATAATTCCTCACTATTGTAGATGAAACTCTTCCTTCGGAGGCTGTACTTATCAATCACTATTTGTAAATTCCACCTACCAGTCCATTTCCCTCAAACACATCCCAAATTCCCACTGAATCCTTTCTTGATTCCCGCTTCATCTGAAATTCTCATTCCTTGTCTATCCACTGTTAATGTGTTCTGGAATTGTACCTTTATCAGTTTCATAGCTTGGACCATATTAAGTCTCAACGGTGGTGCGGTTCTCTGATTATCTACAAGCACAGCCTCCAGCTAATATTCATTTAACTCCAGAACAGCAATTTTGCATTTTCCAGTTGGTTTTGATGTTGTGTAATTACACACTTGCTGATTAGTCTCTTCCGGCAGAATGCTGGGTGGGTGAGGATAATGTTGTCGCTGGCACTGCCAGCTAATTAAGATTCCCCCAGGCCCATGACTGCATGCAATTGTTTATATTGTCCTCTTGGCTCTGTTATGCCCATAATGTGCAGATTTAGATTTATTGGCACAGCAGGGAAAGCAGCCACACTGGTTTCTTTTCCTGCACCCTGCATGCCAGTCACATGCTGCATGACTTCCCTAATTACCCTTGTGGCACATGGTTTCCTGTGTCATTTGAACCCTCAAGCTATATAGCCGAGATGGCGGGTTACAGGGTTCTGGGGTGATTTCAAAGCCATGCCATGTACCTCCCTGATGTGGGAAGCTGTGTGTCATGGGGATAAGGAGGGAAATCACATTGTATAAGACCGGCGGGTGGGGAAAGTTAGCCACCATGGCTTCTTTCTCCCCAGTGATCATCTGAACCCAATCCATCTTCATATTCAAGGTCACTCTCCATATTTACACTCTGCACTCTAGCTTAGGGCTTTTTCTGTTTTGATTGACACTGGGATACATAGTGCTTAAGCTTGTCACAGCTTGTGACATTTATTCCTGTAAGGTGGGCTCTCTTTCCATCTTAAATGTTCCCTACCCCAGTATGTGCACTGATCTATGTGGTTTCTACCTCTCTTCCGTCTGAACTATACGGCAGGATCCGCTGTCTGTCCATCCAGAGCTCTACTCCTGTCTTTGGACAACTCAGATACCCTGTAAATCTCCATGCATCTCTCAGCTGCCTCTCTCATACTTCATTGTATTCTATACACTCCTGGGACCTTATTCAGGATTCTTTGTTAAGGTCAAGGCTAAAACACCTTGAAACTGTTGAAAAATTCCTCAGTGTCTTCTCTTATTATTTTGTTCTTCCTGGAAAAATGGACTTTCTCCTGTTTCACTCTTTCTGGGGTTGCTGTGGGGATCAAAACAACCTATTATTTTTTACTGAATGGGAATGATGGGAGTTGGAGTTCAACACACCAGAGAGTTGGGGGGCACCAGGCTTTGAAGAAGTCTACTCTAACGTATTCTGGGAAGGCAGGTGCTTGAAAGAAGCTGAATGCAATTCATCATCCTTTTTTCTCTTTCAGTTCTTTGCATTCATCACAACACTTCTGTACATTTTGCATGCCTTCAGCAACTACTACCACTGAAATGCCCGAGGAGGAAAATGACATGAGCCCTAAGAGGACTGTCAAGTGTGTCACGGCTTGAAATTTGTGTTCCAAAAGTGATTGTTGACTTTTGTGTAAGAATGGAGTTCGGATGACACTGTGGTCACTTATTTAGCACCTTCTCCACTAAGATGGCAGAGATCCTGGTTTCTGTTAAAACCTGCATTTTGCTCATTTCGTACTGTGCTGCTGAGTGCTGCATGAAACGGCAGAACGGCTCAGATCTGTTTCTTGATTATCTAGCTTTTGCAATTCTCTGAAACCGTAGCCTGTTCCTCAGGGTTGTACCTTGCCAGACTTGTGTAAGTAGCCTATTTGCTCATCACTGCGCCTCCAGGGAAGCTTTTTCACCCCAGCATCTCTGCCGAGGACTCCCCGTGTGCCTATTGCAGGACTCAAGCATGTTGCCGAGGATTTTGGAAGAATACACACCCCGCAGAGGTAGACCATCGGCCAGAGCTCATGGGCTGCATCTAGTTTCAGAAAAGCTCTTGGGGCTGCATTCTTGTGTTGGGTGCAGCCAGAGACAGCGAGGGCAGGGCAAGACATACCAGAAAGCAAATGTTGGGTTAAAGCTCTTACAGCCAGAAAGCAAACCTTAGGTGGGGCCTATCAACCTTGTAGGATGTGCAAAGGCTGGCAAAGCACCAGTTGGTCAGCGGTTGGGGGAAAGAGGATGAGGCAGAGGAAGGACTGCGGCTACATGGAGAACTGCAGAGGACTAGATTCGGCCCTCACCTGGGCTAGGTGAGGAACACAGGAGGGCTGGACCTGAGATTTTATTTTGCTGCTGTAGAGTATTGCGATTGTCCTACACAAACTTAGGGGGTAACCTAGAATAAGACCCAGAAGAAAGTAGATCAGGATCTTCTGGTGAGGTCTTTGGGTAGTTTCCTGTAGATTTTAAATCCTGGTAATTTAATAAGAGCAGGAAAGATTGCAAGAGAAAAAGGTCTCTAGCATAGCTGGGCCTTGTGCTGACTGCTCCCCTTTCCGCTTCATTGTTCCTTATAGGAGTATTCTTTGGTTAGTTTTGACCAATTCTTTGTCCATCTCTGTTGGCTAGTTTAAAGTGTGATATCAGAAGCATCCCTGATCTCTGGTAACTCATGTGTGGATTTGAATATATCCCCAAGTATGGTATATGGGATACAGTAGATCATTGACTTTGCCCCAAGGCACCATTTTATGTCTGGCTCAGATAGGTAAATGTGGCCTTCTGATAAAAAAAAAAAAATGGATCCTACAGGTCTGACATTTATCAATCCCAATCCTAGAATACACCCAATACCCTCCTGTGGCTACATAAACTCAAAAGATTGTGTGTGTGTGTGTGTGTGTGTGTGTGTGTGTGTGTGTGTGTGTGTGTTGGGAATGGGAGCCATCGTTCAAGGAAGCTTGTCTATTTCCGATTTTTCTGAGTGAGGTTCCTCTGATAAGCTTCTGGAGAATTTTGTGGTTCTCTGGAGCACAGTGTGAAAACTAGACCCTCAGGCCATCTGGATGAAACACGTTGACAAAAAATGTTTACGACTGTTGTCCAAGCGACCCCTAGGAAATGCCACGTTACTTTTGAATAACTTAAGGTTGTCCTAAAATGATTTTTACCTCAAAAAAGGGGAATTTTACTTTGGGAATGTAGGTGCTTATAAATGGCTACAGCTCTGATTAACTTCGGGCTGGGACTAATACACTTTGTTATACGGTACATATGAATTGTCTTCACATCAGGATGCACTGACAAGAAACATTTGTTGTGGGCTATTGGATCAGCAGCCATCCTCTCATGAAACGTGATGCCAGGATGAAGAGTCCTGGACAAATTGGCCTTTATCTTTCAATACTGAAGACATTTGTTAAAGGTCCCTGTCTATTATTATATAGAATATTTTGTTCAAATGGGGAAAACTGAAGTAATTTATTGCTCAAACTTATGTATTTTTGTTGTTATCTCTTCATGTTATATTGCTGTTTTAGTTATATCTGTTTTAGTTAACTATCGTTTGTCTGGAGTATATGAACACCTTCCCCCTCCCCTTGCCTGGCTCATGTGTGTCTCTTTAGCTGCTGCATAAAAGGAATCTCATCCGGACCTGCTGGAGTAAATTCTGATGCCTGCTATACGTGGATGGAGACATTCCTGTATATCTGTGCCCTAAATTTAAACGAGCTTTGAACGTTCTCATGGAGCAACAATGCTGATTCTTGTAGGCTCGTGAGATCATGTTCTGAAAGAACATCTACACTATGGTTTATTTCCAAGCAATCTGATGCAAGCCACACAGCTATCTTTATTTGCATCATCAGGACTGTGCTTATCTACAAAGAGGAACAATGAAAGCCAAAACAAACATGACATGATTGGTATCTTAGCTGTGGTGTAATTGATTTTAAGGAGATAAATGTGGGGTGTGTTTTCAGGGCTGGCCCTGTCATGAAGCGGACTGATATACCTGCAGCAGGTGACAGAATGGCAAATTACACCGCTCTCCTGCCCAGAGGATCTGTCCCTGTCTCTCCACTGCTTCCAGTGGGTGTTCGGGAGAGCCCCATCTGCACAGGGCTCTCCAGAACAACCGGCTGGGTGTACCGGCCAGTTCTTAGTGCGGGCACACTTGGCTGGCTGTTTGCTCTCTCCCAGAGGGCCACTTGCTTGCTCACTCCTTCTGTGCTCCAGCTGCAGGGCTCCCGTGAGAGTCCGCTGACCTCTTGTGACAGAGTCCTGCAGGTGGGTGCAAAGCGGGAGTGAGCAGGTGACCAGGCAGCTGGCCTGGCAGGACATTCAGGAAGGCGGGTGGGCAGTGCTACCTGGCTCAAGGTGGCAGATTCCATTGGTTCGGCCTGTGCCCCCTGCTTTGGAGTGGGCCCAAAGGATTAATGGTCCCATCCTCATATGCTCTGATCCCTCTTGGGGAACCTGTTCCAGCTATTTTTTGAAAAAAACCAGGGATGCTGGAGTCAAAGTTGTGCATAACACTGTGTCTAGTTTGGGCCCAAATGGGAAAGTTCCCTTATGCACCTCCCATGCAGGAGTTATAACTGGACCCCGGTGCAGTTTTGATTGCGAGATTAATCTATGCCTCTGACTAGGGCTGGGATGAAACTCAGTGGAATCTGTCCCTGTAGCACTCATGGACGCCCTCTCGCACTCGGCCCATTCTTAGAAAGTGAGCTGAGCTAAGGGGAAGCTGATGAATGCCTGGGGAACAAGGTCGTGCAGCTGGCAAGCTGCTTCGTCCTGTGCAGGAGCACAAATAAAAAGCTGCCGCATGAGGCGTTTGCAGCACGTTTCTTCTCTGTCATGAGCAGTGGCACAAAGATTGAATCCTGGTGAATGCTGTACAAAGGCTGGACGCTGCCACAGAATCTGGGGAGCCAAGCCCGGGGAATCCACTGGATTCCCACCCCCAAAATGGATCCCTCACACATCTCTACCTCCAACCTTTAACCTCAATGACCCATCAAGACTGCTATGATGGGATGTGGTCATTTCAAGGATCAAGTCTCATGTCCAAAACTTCCCAGCCACCATTCAGCACCCTAAGAGTTTTAGGTGCGATTTGCCACTTGACACAGCACAAGCCAGCCTGATCGGCTTCTGTGGCTTTAACAACGGCTTAATACCTGGAAATGGGGAGATGAGTTTTTGCACTGATGGAGATTAGCAAGAGTAGCCACATCCATGGATAGCTTGAGATAAAGGCACCAGAGCAGGGAACATAAAAGTCGACACACCTAATTCTACAGAGCTGCAAATTGCCCCGGGGATCTACTTTGGTGAAGTACGGAAATATGTAAACCAGTGAAAGGGCGAAACATTTGGTCATAAATGAGAGTTCACATATAAACTCAAGATGGAAGCCTAGCCTGTATGTGCATTCCAGAAGGGGCAGCTGAAGCGGATTCATTGGCTGTTCCAAATTCTATCAAACTGCTTCCGTTTCAGCTTCTGCAAGTACTAAAGGAGCACACGGTAAGTCTCTGGGATACAAATGACTGAGTTATGAACATCTGTATTTAATGAGTGAACTGCCACAAAGACTCGTCATTTAAAAATCTGAGTTAAAGACAAATGGTTCACAGTAATGAATGCAGAAACTAGTTTGTTATGCTCATGAAAACATTTTGTGGCATCAGTTGTTCATTGGCTCAAGAGTACTCAAGCCAGTGTGTTCTGGGTCATGTGCATTTAACATTGCCTTCCATAACTTGTATTACAGTAGTGTATTGTGTTTAATATGCTTTAGTATATATAGAAGTGTTTCTTAAGTATTTATATGCATAGAAAGGTAAAATATATATGTAGACTAAGATGAATATTTGGCTTACTCATGCTACATAGGACCCATACGCACACGATCTGGCTTACATACAAATCTGAGTCAAAGATGTTCTTCGGAATAGATCTCGTTCGGAACCTGGGGAATGCCTTCCCTCCACCTCCATCACCCCCGCACTTCTCCTGTTTCTTTAATAACTGCCCAATCTGCAGAAATATAACGGGGTGGTCTTCTGTGCATGCATAATGTCAAACCTTGGGTGTGCTTGTGGGAGGCTCACACTGGGCTATTTTTAATGATTCAGATTTGGACGATGAAACTGCCTGTGAGACTGGGCAGCCACAAGCTGTGGGTCCGGGCCCTGGGACCCAGCTAGGGGAGGAAGTAGAAGAGATCAGCCCAAGGCTGGTGGGACGCAGATCATACCCGCCGGGAGTTACAGCCCGCAGGAGGGGAGATATCTCAACTGAAAACCAACTCCCCCTTTCAGAGGTGGACCCAGTGGCTTGGCGCGAACATCAGCCAGAGGTCCAGCTAGGGGCACAGCGGGTGGAGTGGAGGCATGCCTGCTCCCACAGTGTGCTGCCTCCAGGCTCTGGACGCAGGTGGGTTCACAGGGGGAGCTTTGGGAAATGAGCAGCAGAAGGGTTCAGCATACCACATGCTCCGAAACTTATGTGAAACAGTAGAGATGATCAA